TCGGACGCTTAACCGACTGCGCCACCCAGGCGCCCCAGGATTGCCTTTCTAAAAACAACATTTGATTTTCCTCAAACTTCCACACAGTTCCCACCCTGAGTTGTATGACATCAAAAGAAGCCAAGATTACTACATCATCGGGACTCAAAGGACCCTAAGAAAACATCAAGTGCAACCTTTTCATTGTATGGGTGGGAAGCCTGAGGCTTAGAGGAGCCCAGGGTTGCACTGCTCAGCCATATTAGACACTGTCGGTACCCACCATATTCCCTCTGTCTACCTATCCTCACTTGGAGGTCGCAGCAGGCAATTCCTGGACGCACATCCAACACTTTCCCACGTGCCCTGAATGAGGGTTCAGAGCAGGCTTGGGAATGGACACCCCCCAGGAAGGACCCCGCAACCAGTGAGAGACCAGACTTGGTGGTAAACACACCAATATTTTCACTTTCAGTGGGACAACTTGAAGACATGTTCTTATATATTTATTTACTTTTTAAGTAATCTCTATGCCCAACACGGGCCTCGAACTCTCGGCCCTGAGATCAAGAGTCACACACTCCACTGATCGAGCCAGCCAGGCGCCTGAAGATATGTTCTAATCAATACAGTCCCCAAGATAAGTCCTAGTTGTTCCCGGTGGTAGCCCCTCATTAATACAACTTCTACTGCGTTTGACCTACGGTTCCACTCCCTACTTCCTTATTATGTTTCCTAGGGTCACCTTACAATAAACTATTGGTCCCCAAAGCTTTTGTCTCAGGGAAGGTCAAATTGAGACAAGGGCTGTGGCAGACCTCAACTACGAGTCTCCTGACTCCCCGTCCAACAGGCTTTCTCTGAACAAGTGTTTCTTAACCTGGGCACCACTAGCATTCTGGATGGGATAATGCATTGTTGTGGGGCTGACCTGTATATTGCAGGATGGTGACCAGTATCTCTGACCTCTAGCCACTAGATGCCAGCAGCGCCTTCCAGTTGGGAACAGTCAAAAAAAAAAAAAAAAAAAAAAAAAAAAAAAAAAAAAAAAGTCTCTGCATTGCCAAACGTCCCTTGGGGCAAAATCATCCCTGTTCTACACCAGGCCCAGCTCCCTTAGCAGGTCCAGAGAAAGAGTTCCAGGCCCTAGAATTCCCACCCCCTTCCCTAATGCTCTTCAGATCACATAAATGAAACCACCGGAATTTAATAAAACAAAAATCTTTTATTAGAGATGAGTGAAATAACAAGTCTGAGATGAACAAAACCAGACACTGGAGGCTCAGAAGACAACCCTGTTCCTGTGGGATCCCAGACCAGTCAGGTCTCCATCCAGGGTAAACAGTTCAGCCTCCTGGGCCAGACTGCTTCGTTGGCCATTGGCACCCTCCAGCCTCTTCTGTTTGGCCTGGCCCATCCTTGCCAGGGCCTCATGCCCAGTGCCCATAAAGCTGTTAGAGATTGATGATGGCTTAAGTGTACCTGTTTTCTAACATGGGGCTGAAAGTCATGGTGGAATTTCTGGCAAGGGGAAGGAGAAACTTTATTTCCTGCTCTCCCTTCCTATTATTTTCCTTCCTCCTTTCTTAGCTCTTTCCTCCCCCAAGACTGGAAGGCTCCTGAGTTGACCGAAGAAAAAGGAGAGAAGTAAAGATCGATCACCTCCGACCATTCCTTTTCTTCCTGCTAAATCAAGGAGAGTAGGCAAATGGGGGTTACTCCTAGTGTACCTCCCAGCTGGGGAATATAACAGAGGTGCCCGGGAAGGCTGCGCTGTCCCTTGAAAGGAGTACTCTTCAGAGTATTTACTTAACAGCCAGTTCATCATGAGCACTGGCCAAGCAGAAGGCACGCAAGCTATAGACAACTGCAGGGTCTCATCGGTGTAAGCCAGCCGACTGTCTGCCCCTGGGCCGAGGACCATCCCCTGGGATCTAGCCCTGCCCATTCCCAAGCCCAGCCTTGGGGACCAGGTTCCCAGCAAGGGACCACATCTGCAAGACCCTTGTCTTACTTGTGTGACATCTGGACATAGAGAGAAACTCAGGAAAGGAGTCCTAGACTAATGAATGTCCAAGAAGGCAGCCCTTTGTCTGGTAGAATCCCTGGTCTGGACATGAAGCATGAGGGTAAGCCGGTCTTACTCTTACGGAGCCCCCAGACTGATAGAAGAAGCAGAGGTCTGGTCTGATGAGAGACTGAGAATTCTCAAGATGGAGAGTAGCTCAAGAATCTCAGACCCAGCCCTCTGGCTCCCTGGCCTCTGGGCAGTGGTGGGATAGAGGGGAAGGAGCCACCATTAGCCCTAACATGGAAGGGCCCAGTGTCCTGGGCAAGGGGTATGGGTCCACGGCAGGGAGGAAGGCCAGCCACGGAGGCACAAGGGACAGAGACAGCAAGACCCAAGGGAATGGACGCCTCAGTTCCCCAGTCTTGCGGGTTCGAGTCCTAGCTCTGAACACTGGGGCCCAAACATGGGGGTAGTTCAGGCATGCAAAGGCCAGCAAGGAGCTAGTCTTGCAAAAGCTGCGCAGAGTTTCCAGGAGAACCCCCCTTCTTGAGCCCTCTCCTTCAGTGAAGCCAACCTGGGGATAGAAGAATGAAAATTGATAGTTTCTAAGTACCTATATTATATATTTTTAAAATTTTTTAATGTTTATTTATTTTTGAGAGACAGAGAGCGAGAGAGCGTGCAAGTGGGGCAGCGGCAGGGGCAGAGGGAGACACAGAATCCTAGGCAGACTCCGGGCTCTGAGTATCAGCACAGAGCCTGACGCAGGGCTCGAACTCATGAACCGCAAGATCATGACCTTTGCTGAAGTTGGACACTTAACCAACTGAGTCGCCCAGGTGCCCCGTCTAAGTACTTTTATTATATACCAGCTGTTTATCTCACTCAGTTTCACCACCATCCTGTCATGGATAGATGAAATTATCCCCATTTAACAGACAATGAAACTGAGGCTTAAAGAAGTGAAGCCACTTTTCCAAGGCCTCCACACTCTGAAGCCTGGCCTCTTCTTAGCATGCACGTCTCAACGACAAGTATCGGCTAAATGCTGGGTGACAGATACCTGGTTGTGGACACAGATTTGTGTCTGGTGCCTGACTTTGATACAGTGAGGGTGGCAATTCCTCAGAGAGACCCGGTTCCTGCCCCTGCTGCCTCCCGCTCCCAGCACTGACACCCACGACCACCCCTGAGGAATCCCCGGGGGAACAAGGAACAAACAGTTTTATTCTCAGCCCAACTGGCTCTGTCCTGTGCCCACTCCCAGTTCCTCAACTAACTATGGGTAGCTGTGAGAGGCTTCGTGATCCAGCAGAGAGAAGTCGGATTAAGGATGAGAGCCCTTGCCTGGTCCCTGTCACATGCCTCTGTGCCTGGGAGTTGGCAGTCTCAGCAGATTCCTACAAGGGGACAGTCGGGCACACTGAAGACTGGTACACAGCCACCCTAATCCTGCCTCATCTGCAGGGAGGTGAGACCTTCTCTGAGCCTCCAGCCTGGGTGACAGGGGTTCGCTCAGCCTCCCCGGAGAGAAGCCAGGGCTTGGGCATCACCACCTCTGCCATCCCTCAAGGCCTGGGCTCTCCCCAGCTGCATGTGTCCTGGGCTGTGGTGGGAAGGGCAGGCACTGACCAAACTGCGGCCACCTGCTCTCATATGTACCCCAGTCATGGGGAGAGGTCCCCCACCCCAACCACCTCCCGTTGACCCCCTTGGCCTCCCACGTGTCCTGCCACCGCCCCTCAAACCATGGTCCCAGAGCTCATACCAGCGTGTTCCTTCTGCACAGAGGCTGTCTGGCTGAGGGACAGTCTTCCAGGCTCCGGCCCACCCCGCCGGTAGGAGCGGGTGCTCTCGGAGCTGGAAGGCAGGGAAAGGCCAATGTGACCTCACACTGAGAGCCCCTTAGTGTGGGGGAAAAGAGCTCAGGTATAGGCTGGGGCCTAAGCAGGTGGGTAGAGAACCCCTCGAGGCCCCCAGGCTTAGAACTGACTCCCGAGGGCTCTGGAGATTTCCCCGTACCTACCCCCCAGACTGCAAACTGAAAGGGCTTGTTTCCAGGGAAGGGAGGACTGGATCCTGCGCTGGAGGTGGGAACACAGCAGAGATCCCACTGAGAGCCTCTAGACTCCGGCCTCTAGACAGGAGGGACTAAGCCTTCACTTGGCCTCCAGCAGTCTGGGTCTCAGGCTCCTTCCCAGACTCAGGAGCAGGTGTGTGAGGGGCAGGGGGCCCACTCACCCTCCACTCAAGGGCTAGCATTCTGTGTTAGTCATGGGTCTCAGAGCAGGGAGGTATCCCAGGCCTTAGGTAGGCACCACTGACAGGTGGGGAAATACATGATGTGCAGAGGGATGGGGGAGACTTGCCCAGCAGGGCCCTCACCTGAACTTGACCGGGGGATACATCTCCGTGGGGGTGGTTCCAGATGTCAGGCTGGGGCGGGAGGGGCCCGGGGGCTCCCAGAGGCCCTCCTCAGAGCTCGGTGGGGGGGTTTGGCTGGGACCTCCAGCTTCCCCAGGGCTTGAGAGGCTGGAAGGGGTGGAGGCTGGACTGCCCAGGCTCTCAGGGGCCCCAGAAGGCTCTAAGCTCAGGCTGGGGACTTCGGAACGATCTAGAATCAGAAATGATAAAGCCTGTCTTTATCACTTACTCTGTTCTCAATTCAAAGCAGTCCTTGGCCTCAAGGATCTATGGCTGTCCCCACTCCCGGATGCCACCCACCTCCCCGGCGGTCCCCTTCAGCTCCTCCCCCCCATGCCCAGTCTCATTTGCTATGATGGCCAGGCCACACTGATGCAGTTTTGGCTTCTACCCCTCCTGCCCCTCAGTCTGGACTCTTCTGCTCATTCCCCAGGCTCAACGCAGATGCTACCCAGACAGGATGCCTTCCTCAACCACTCCCCAGTCCCAACAGGACACGCTCCCTCCCTCCCCTGAGCTCCCAGAACAAGGCTGTTCGTTCTTTCAACAAACAGTTCTTGAGAAGAGCCAGGTGCTGTGCTAGGCGCAGGAGAAATACTAGTCAACGGAACACTCCTGTCGTCTTGAGATTTACATTCTTTGTGGGGGGTGGGGGGGCGGGGATTTACGTTCTATACCATTGTGTCTATTATTGTAATGAACTGCATTCCAGCTTCTATCTCCCCCACTAGACTGTGTCTCAGTAGCTCCCCAAATACTGGAGACACAGTGGATGGTCAATAAATGCTTCTCTCTCTTTTTATTTAAGGAAAGCATTGAAGAATTTGGAATAAGACAGACCTGGGTTTGAATCCCACATCGGGGACGTATTAGCTGTGGGATTTGGGGGATGCTACTCCACATCTCTGCCCCTTTACCTGTAAGGGGGACGTGATGACCTCTGCCTGACAAGAGACTGTGAGGGTGATATGAGCTCACACACGCACCCTTAACTCAATGCGCTGGTGACAGTGAATGGTATGATGAGCATTTTCCTGGGCAGCCAGTCATACCTCCACTGGTATGTCCCACACGCCCTTGGACCATGGTCCGAGAAGGGTTTTTGACCGGCAAGGGCGGGGGGCAGGCCTCACTCTCGCTCTGAGGGGCAGCTGGTCCCAGGGTGGCGATGGCCTCGTACGTCTTGTTGCTGAGGTCGACCCTCCCACTGGCCCAGCGGGTCTGGGCTGGGGGCTTCAGAGGGCAGCGCTGCAGGGGCAAAGGTATGGGAGAAAGGATGGTGTGGTTCCTCCAGTTCAGCCCTGCCCCTCCCCACAGCAGGTCCGATCTGGCTCTTTCCATCTGCTCTCTCACGAAGGCCCGAGAGATGGGGTGAGGACCCACCTTCTCTTCTTCCTCCTCGTCACTGTCGGAGCCAGGCTCTGTGGAGAGTCCCCAGGAGTAGTCCACGTGCAGAGGGAAGGCGAGAGTCCCCGCCTGGGCCTTCTCCAGCTGCCGAAAACAAAGCCTTGGCAGTTCAGAGGGTCAGGGGCTCAGCAGAGAAAGAGGAAGGGTCAGGGGCTTCCCCTCCTTTCCTAGACCTCACCAGCTCCTCACATTCCTTGTGCTGCTTCTTCCTGGCTATGTCCAGAGCTGTCTCTCCTGCCTCGTTCACTGTGAGGGGTAAAGTTAGGGGTCAGGGTCAAAAGACATTATAGATTAGAGGTTAAGATGGGCCTCTGGAATCAGACTGCGTTTGAATCTCGGCTCTGCTACTTCCTGGCTGTGTGATCTTGGGCAAGTCACTTAGCCTCTCTGGGCCTTGATTTGCTCATCTACAAAATGAGTAGAATGCTCATACCTTTCTGATGAGGTTGTTGTGAGGCTCTTGTGCCAAGAGCACTTGGCACCTTACCAGGCACATGTTAAACAGTAAATAGTGACTACTATAATCACTATTATTTGAACTCAGCTAATATTCATTTGCTTAAATACTTTCAGACACATTCTCTTTATCTTCTTAGCAGTTCTACTTGGTCTGTGGTATTATACCCATTTTGCACATGAGGAAGCTGAGGTTCAACAGATGAATAGACAGATCCCAAGGTCACAGAGGTGGTCAGAGGCAAGCTGGGATTAGGACCCAAGTCTGTCTGCAAAGCCCACGCTTGTTACCAGTGCTCTCCATCTGGGAAGAAGGCAGGAAGTGCCACACGAGGGTTAGTAAGGAACCGGGAGTCTGGTAGAGGAGGCGTCGGGGCCCCACCTGTGCCAACCGAAGCTCTCCCTTTCAGCAGCAGCTTGAGGCAGTCGGGCTGATTGTAGAGAGCAGCGCAGTGCAGGGGACTGTTCCCGTCAGCAGCCTTGGTGTCCAGGTGACCTCTGGGGGTGGGGGGCCGGGGAGGAAGGAAGGGGAACAGACAGGCAAAGGG